AATGCTGAAATAGTGACAGTATACAAGAGGACTGCTGTAGCAAATATGGATTTAGGTATCATCTATTGCTGAGTTAGCTGAAGGTAAGCACAAGTTTAGACAGCATAAACAATATGCTATATCCTTGTGTCATTATGAGGTTCTCCAAAGCAACTTAGAAAAGTTTTACTTTAGCGCACAGTTCCAGATTATAGTTCACCATTGCATAGAAGCCAAGGAAGGAAGCACTTAAATCACACAGTCATATCACATACACACAGTCAAGAGCTAAAAGAAATAAGAGTATGGGGGCCAGGGAGTGGGAAGTAGTAGTTTTTATGAGAATGACCCCTATAGGTTCGTATGTTTGAATACTTGGTCCCTAGTTTGTGGAAGTCTCTGGGAATGAACCAGGGGTATCTTAGTTAGGGTTTTATTGCTATGAAGAGACACCATGACCACGGAGACTTTTATAAAAGAAAATATTTAATTGGGGCTGGCTTACAGTTTCAGATATTTTGTCTATTATCATCATGACAGGACATGGCAGCATGCAGGCAAACATGCTGGAGAAGGAACTGAAAGTTCTACGTCTTGATCTCCAGGCAGCAGAAGGAGACTGGGACAATACTGAGCATAGCTTGAGCATATGAGACTTCAAGCCTTCCTTCACAGTAACACACTTCCTCCAACAAGGCCACACCTACTCCAACAAGGCCACACCTCCTAATAGTGCCACTCCCTATGGGCCATTCCTATTGAAACCTCCACAGCAGGTAAGGCTTTGTTGGAGGAGGTGTGTCATTGAAAATGGGCTTTGAGCTTTCAAAAGACTCAAGCCATTTTAAACTGGAACTTTCTACACATTGCTTGAGATGTGTATTCTCAGCTGTCCCTGCTACCATGTAATCTACCATCGTGTACTCTAATCCTCTGGAACTGTAAGCCCAATTAAATGCTTTCTTTTATAAGTTGCCTTGCCCATGGTGTTTTATCATTGCAGTAGGAAGGTAACTAATACAACAAATATTTGAGTTGTTGAGATTAAATACCAACGAGAATGCCAAACATGTGGAAAATTTATCCAAAGGAAGGACAGGAGAAAACTTTCCAAACCTAGATATTATAATACACAGATGCTTGAAGGTCAAAGGTTAGTAATCAGGTTTAACTCAACAAAGTCTATCCCCAAATTGACTTTTAAAATGGGATAAAGAAAATATTCTTTCTATGAAAAGAGCAAAGAAACAAACAATGTATAAGGGTGTCTCAATTCTGACAGTAGCTTTCTCCAAAGAACCCATACACTGTGAAACAAAACAAAGAGAAATATTATCCTGAATGCTAAGAAATAGTGAGATTAACATAATCCAAAAACCTAAAATACAGTTACTAAAAATACAATTAAATAGTTTTACTTAATAAATTTATAAAAGCCTCCTTATCATCATTGACACTAATTTAATGTCCAAGTTTTTAGTTTGATGCTAGGAGTCCTTGATATTAAGATGACTTTTCTTTCTTTCTTTTGTTTTTGCTGCCTCTTTTTTTAAAATATTTTATTCATTTATTATGTATACAACATTCTGCTTCCATGTATACCTGCACACCAGAAGAGGGCACCAGATCTCATAAGGGATGGTTGTGAGCCACCATGTGGATGCTGGGAATTGAACTCAGGACCTCTGGAAGAGCAGTTGGTGCTCTTAACCTCTGAGCCATCTCTCCAGCCCTTGCTGCCTCTTAATATAGCTTATATGTATAGTTTTACAATAACATGTAGATTATAAGAAATAAAATTCAGTATAAAATTAATGTGTCATATATGAGATTCTTTTCTTTAAACTTTTCTTTGAGTTTCTATTTTAGTTTTCATTTTCTGTTGGTGTTTTGCTTGCATGTATGTACACCACATGTGTGCACTGCCCACAGGGGACAAACAACAGTGTCAGACACTCTGAAACCAGAGTCACAGATGGTAGCCAGTTGTCAGGTGTGTGCAGGGATATGAACCCCGGTCCCCCGAAGAACAGCCAGTGCTTTTAACCACTGAACCATCTCTTCAGCTCCAAATTCCTTTCCTTCACTAGGGTTTATAGCCACAACCCTTTGCTCAAAATGTCCCAATGCCTTTTCCTTTGTTCACCATTATCAGCCAACGATAGCACCAGGAAAGGACCACTGCCCAATAAATAGCTGTAGAATGAAGTCTCAATGGTGAGCAGGATGTCATAAGAAAGAGCTGCAACACCTTCTGACTAGAGTAAATGCACTGCACATTCCTCCAGAGACAGACTGTTCATGAGCTTGTGACTGGCCAATATGCAAATGCTCACAGTTCACAGCACGGGAGTCTGAATCACCGTCTCTCTTGCATCACTCTGGCATTCCACTACCCTCTCTGCTGACCAGCGGCTGACGATCCACTGGTGGAGGTTCCACTCCACTTTTGACCTACTTCCTGAAAGTGTATCTTGGCCTCTTTATCTGTTGCTCTGGGCTTTCAATCTCTATAGATACGTGGGGATCCCAGGTGTCTACCCAGCACACCAGCTCTTCTAACCAAAGTGAGAGAAAAATCTCTGCCTATTAGGCCTCCTTTGACCAATGGGTGATGAGAACAGATGGGCAAAGTTTATCACTTCGTTGATCAAGTCTAGTCTTTTGTGATATATTCTTTATCAGTCTCATATCAGCACTATACATCTGGACCCTTAGAGAAGCCAAGACCATCATCTCCTCTTTTTTCCCTTAGGTATCAACAATCACTTTTACTGAATAATATGAGGAGCATCCTGCCCCTGACACCTCACCACATGGTGCTGGGTGGTCCTGGTGGTCACAAGGGTACCAGTGCACATGCATCATTGAGAAATAGTGCTACCCATACCTATCTGCAGGAAAGCTTCTTTGTAAAGAAGGAAGAAACTAGAAACTCAACAAGGGGAACTTGTTTGTGCTGGTTGGAATAATCATTCATTTATTACCATGGATCTGTATTGAAGGATGTTTTAAGATAGGAAAGAGCAGTGATAGGAGTGGTGACAACAGAGAGAGCTTAGAAAAGAGAATTATCTTCAGGCAATGAGACCAGTGATTGACTTACATGAAGAAATGAGAAAGTCAAGAAAGTAGACCTTTCGAAGTCTATTGATGAAGTTTTTAGTGACGTTGGGAAGATTCTTGACCAAAAAGGCCACATAACCTTGAGAATACTTTTCTAATCAAGGTTAAATGTTGCCCTGATAGCTTCTATCAGAGACCTATTCTGAGGCATTTTTAATATTTCAGAACTACATTTCAAGTTAGACTAGGAAAAATAGAATAAGACAAATTCTCTTACGTGTTTTAAAACTTTTGGTCATAGTAGAGAGTGAATTCAGGTTTAACTTCATCTTATTTGTTACTGCATTCAATGACAGCTAGTTCTTTGTTTTTATTAAAAAGGACTTTTAACCCTTTAACTGTTTGTGCTACTACTGTGAGCAATTTTTTGTATGCATGCATACAATGTGTTAGAGTTCAGCATTTCCATGTTCTCTTGTTGCAGATTTTAAACCTTCAACTGGTATGTGGCTCTATGACTAAAAACAAAGGAGCTTTTTGTGTAGTCATTTTTTGCACAAGGTGTTTAGTAAACACGCTCATTCAGTGGGTTCCTATCAATGTTCTAGCATTAATTAAATAACTTACCAGTTCCTACAGAAAGATGAAATTTAGGCATTGATTTATTACAGCTCATGCAAAGTTTATGATGGGGCATAGTGTTTACTTCCAGGGTTTGAGTTGCAGGGCAAGTATAGGACAAGCGGTTCAGAGCCAGGGAGAATTGTCAGGTTTCTTCTAACATAATATGTAGGGCAAGGATGGTACTAACGATTTAGGTTCTTTATGGTCTATGAGATAACACTACTCACTGTTAAACTAATACTAACCAAACTCCTAGCAATGAAACCTCATATCAGGTTATGTTTCAATAACACTTTAAGACTTTGTTTTGTTTCCTAAGTTAAATGCTGAATAAGAATAAGTTTTAAGAAGCAATCTGATAGAATACCCCAGTTGTAAAACCAGAATTCCCATGAGACTACAGCCTACCTCAATCTTTATTAGTCAGCCATAACCCAGAGAGGAATGTTTACTGAGACAACCTGTCTCCCCAAATAATCTGTCTTGTCTGAATTGGACAACCCCAGGAAATAGATACCACAGATTCTCACTGAGTCCCTTACAGCTGCTTCAAGTTCTCATTCCCAAGCCTCTCTATAAGCATGAAGTATTCCCCGCCCTCTTCACACAACTCTTCTCCACCCCAGCAAACTCTGTGCCCCTTGCTGTGTGTGCATTCATAAACACAGCCATTTCTGTTGAGTTCAGATTCTGGTCTTTTTCCTGCCTGTTGTCTCCACTCTGTGCTCCCAAACTAAACAAACTCTAGTGGTTAAAATTCTTATTTGTAGTTTATTTTCTGGAATACTTTCAAAAAGTTATTTGCCTAAAAGTATTTTAAAATTCATTGCACTGTGGTCAGAATAAGAATAAATACTTCGTATAAAAATATAAATGCCAAGATAAAGGACTTAACTTTATTGTTATAGTTAATACAAGACAAGGAAACCGGAGCCTGATAAATTCAAGGAAAAAAATAATAAGTCTTCCTTAATTCTAGTGACTTATACCTGGCCAGTCCTATTTGTTTGGGAGACAATTAACAAGGGAAGCACTCTATGACTATTGCTAATACACATGCTGTTATTATTAGCAAAGGGCATTACATTGGTGGCAATGACTATTTGCATGACCACTCCCTTTGGTTGCCCAATAAAAGTTGTATAGCTATCTCAGTCTCTATATTTTTTTTCCTTTTTTTTTTTGAGACAGGGTTTCTCTGTGGCTTTAGAGGCTGTCCTGGAACTAGCAGACCAGGCTGGTCTCGAACTCACAGAGGTCTTCTGTCTCTGTCTCTGTCTCTGCCTCCCGTGTGCTGGGATTAATCAGTCTCTATTTTTATCTTACACATCATGACCTTTGGTTCTACCTGGGTCTATGTACTAGTTGGTTGTATTTGTGGCTCTTTAGTGGGAGCTTCCAATCTCAGAGCCTACTATCCCCCTCTGTGGAAGGAGAGTCCTGGCCAACTCAGCGAATATAGAATAGAAGATGGAAAGTACAACATAAATCCCTGGAATTACTCTGAAAGACTAGGATTGTATAAAATCCTAGTGAAACAAACAGTGAGATATTTTGAAAAATTTGCTCCAGGAAATGAACAAAATGTTTTATGGGGCTTGGCTGCATTTTACGGATGGCAATACCACACAGGTAAGTGAGACCCTTTCTAATTACAGTTGTACTTTGACATAACTGGATTGTTTTTGATATATAAATCACCTGGTAGGAAATTGATTATTTTCCCTTTCCTTTCTAATGTTTTACCACTAATATTCCCTCATTTTCTTCTTCAGTTTTTCACCTGGTGGCTTTGCTTGTACTTCCATTTGTGAATCTGCCTGCATGCACTGTTTGTTCTTTTTTCACTGGTCTTCAGAAACTTCCTCATCTCTTGTTCCTTCTCCTCCTGTCTGACAACATTTCTAACTTTACCAGTAACCACTGGTCCATTTCCTATCAGGAAAAAGGAGACAGGATTAGCTCTAACTTTTGTGTAAACAGTTGTGTGTTCTTTTTCTTCTGGTTTATTAGAATTGTTCAGGAGTATCTGAGATGATTCTCCTGGAGTCACATCATATATCCATGTTTCATTCATGTTATTGTCATATGTTAATAGTTCATTCATTTTTATTGGGAGATATTTTAATTGGAAAAAATGTCAGAAATGGGAAGAATAGATTGGGAGCCAGAGAAAGGGTAAAAAAGTATCACAAAAGAGAACAGTGTATGTCTGGCACAGGTAGACCTCATGCCTTCCTTCAGGCGAGGCCAAGAAAACAAAACAAGAACAAAGAACACAGGTATGAAGAAGAATCAATGCATGAAAGAGTGCTAATGGTTGAAAGAAAAGAAAATTGAGAATAGAATAAATGTGGAAGTGAATCTAAAAACAATATAATTATATGAATAAAAGATAAAGTAATCCAGAAATGGGATAAAGAAAAGAATTTGAAATTACTGTGGCATGCATGAAAAAAATCAGAGAGAGAAGGAAAATTATGTCTAGTGAAATGCTGGAAACTACAATAAATTTTGGGCGGAAATCTGAGTTTGAGTAGCAGTCATTCTGGTTAATAAGATGAATGATTTTGAAAAATTAAAATCCATTGATACAACTATGCAGATCTTTCCTGTGGGCTAGTAGAGTGCAAGTAGGTTAAAAAGAACAAAAACAAAGAAGTGGGGCTTAAAATAGATTCATAGGAAACAGACCATTTGAAGCTGAGAACATAGTACAAGAGGGAAAGAGGAGAAAGAAGACAACATATTTCAGAAATATGAAAACAAAGGAATTCATCCAATAGGTGAGGGAGGAAAGGGCTAGATGAGAGAAGCTAGAAGAGCTGGGTGGCATCAAGTCACCAGGGAGCTAGAGGGGAAAGATGAACATCAATTGGGGAGACAGCTGAAAGAATGTGAAGAGAGTGTATACATAAAGCATATCAGATTTAAAAACTGTGGAGTGAACCAGAAAGATATGTCCTTAAAATAAGAATTAAGGGAGGGGTGGTTAATCTATGGGGCCTCCAGTAGTGGATCAGTATTTATCCCTAGTACACGAATGGACTTTGGGAGCCCATTCCACATAGAGGGATACTCTCTCAGCCTACACACAGGGGAGGGTCTAGGCCCTGCTCCAAAGGATATGACAGACTCTGAAGATCCCCCATGGAAGGCCTCACCCTCCCTGGGAAGCAGAAAGGGGATTGGATGGGGGCCAGTGGGGGGCAGGGGAAGAGGGGAGGAAGAGGGAACTGGGATTGGCATGCAAAAGAAGCTTGTTTCTAATTTAAATTTTAAAAAAGGAGAAAATAAAGACAAAAAAGGGATTTAACTTTAAGTAAAAAGAAATACAGCATTTTTTTTTTACATGTATTGATATTTGACTCCCTAATTTGGAGTTAGTCGGTTATCTGTATATAAACAGAATAGCTAGTAATTAGAAAAGAGAGACGAAAGCTATAAAGGCTTAAAAATATTGATTGATATCTGGACAGTGAATAGAGCAGGGACTGTAAAGTGAAGTTGAGGATAAATGGCAAGCATTTTCTTTTTAGAGAATGAATATTTTGGCAGTTCTCATTAAAGAATTATAACTAATTATATCTAGTTAACTTTTATATCTCCAGGTTAAAAAATTGTGGCTTAGGGGGTTCAACTCTGCATTCTTTCTCTTCCAGGTAGGTTAGCTGACCCCACTCATAGGACAGACTGTGGGTATGCCTCTGGAGATCACCTGTGCATCTCTGTGGACAGCTGGTGGGGTGGTAAGTTTAACCTAATAAACCTCTTATTGCTTATCTCCCCACAAAAGTTCATCCTATCATCCCAGTTCCATAATTGAAACCAAACACAGAGTTACAGCAATAGACGCAGTGTGAGCATCTCCTCATGAGACTTTCCCTATCATGATTTACTGTATCCTCAAACTTGAACCACAAGAAACCCTTCCTTAACTGAAAATAAAGAGACAAACTTACTCTAAATACTAGAAGAGCAATATAAATTCATACCATTATGCAAAATGAAAAGTTTTCAAAGATTACATACAGATTAGGATATTTTTAAAGACAAGTCAGACTTGAAATATGCAAATAAAACTTCTGGAGACTAAGAAAGCAAAGCATTTTATAAAGTTACTATTTTTCTCTCTTGTAATTTATTGTTGTTTAGATTCTAAGTGGCATTGTAAAATGCCAGCAGTTGTTTTTCATGAATTAAAGTTATGTATCTAGAACATAAATTTATTTTGCTTTTTGAGAATGGAATTTTAAAAATTAACTTGTTATGATTGCATCTTATCCAGAAGGCTCATCCACCAACTTCCAAAGTGCATAGTTTCTACTTAAATTTAATGCTATATGTTTAAATCCTTGGGGCTTACATCATGATGTGTTTCTATACTTCAGAAATAATTTCTGGCTGTGCACATTGGCACATGTCCACAATGTCAGCACTTGGGAGGCTAAATGAAGTAGGAAGATCATCATGAGTAGGGGGCTAGCCTGGGCTTCACAGCAAGATACTGTTTCAAACGACAACACAAGGTGAAAAAAAGCAACAAAAAATACCCCTTTCTATTTTATCAATACCCATAATGGTTATTTTGTTTACACAGACCTTAATTATTTCCTCTCTGTAATACCCTTCCTGGCTGCCATTGACTCTGGAGTAATGGAGCTATCATCAGACATCACCCTTCAGCTACCATCCAAGGATCAGGAGAAGTTTTGTTATGATGTTTCTAGTTGTCATTCATCTTTTCCAGAAGCAATGAAAGTGTGGAATAAACTTTATCAGGTTATTTTTTTTAATTTTAACTACAACCTTTAAAGGTAACCAGATAATCAATGCCTAATATTTTATGTAGCATTTTACAGATTGAACAATAGGTTTCTAACAAGTAATCCCCAGTGTTTGTTATGTAAACAATACTATCATGAAGAGACTGGTGAGTGACATAGCATCCTTATTCACAATACTTTATTGATGTATCTGTTTGCATCCCTCTTATGCCAAATAAATTATACACAAACGTGTGAACACAGAATTGTGTCTTTGCAGTACATAAAGCATTCTGGCTCATTTAATTCCAGGCCAACTGAATGATGCTGCATATGAATATATACTATAAAGTAAGTTGTGATGAATTTGATTATTTCAGCTCTCTTGAATACAAATAATAAAAGCTAATTGAAATGATTAATTGACAGTCAGATCAATTATGGACACCCAAAGTAATATGTCATGGTGAAAGAGTGCAAAGCAAACATTACCTTTCATTAGGTGCTTGTTATCTTGCATATGTTTTGACAAAGCACTCTTGTTGCTCTTCTTTCTCTATTTTGAAATCTTCTGATACTATGGAAAGTCCACTGAATGGCAGGAGACAAAGAAGTACCAAAGGTCTGGTTTAAATGATATTAAATTTTAGAAAGATTCAAAACCAAAACCAAAAAGAATTATTGGTTTGTTTTTCTCAAGTACATGACTAAATAATGTGAAGCAACTTGGGACTTAAGTGAAGCATTAAGTCATTCATATTTTGATTTAGGAAAATAATATTCTCCCATTTTTATTGTTTAAAACATTTTTTTCAGGAAAAGGATCATTATTGCCTAAACATTAATAACTTCTCTATTCTTACACAGCATATGAAGTTACCTTCTAGCACTTTTGATGATTTGGTGAAGGATGTTTGGGAGGCACATTTGTCATCTCTGATTGGTAATTTTCTCAGTAGGTAAGAGTGGTTCCAAATTAATATTATATTGTGATAATTTTTCTACCTTATGTAATTATTCCCATTTCAGCCTTCTTTACATAACTTATTTATAGCTATGTCAACCATGGAAAATGTTATGGTAAAAAGTAAAAGCCTTACTAGATGAAGATTTGTATGACAAGAAGGTAAAAATATGAAGAAGGTAGATTTGTACAACAAAATGTAAATAAAAACACAGCAGAAAAATGTAATCAGAACTGTGGGAAATGAGAATATTTTAGGGCCTTTCTAAGACAAGTTTTGCTCTATAAACTAAAAAGACACAATGACAGATTTACTGCAGGGTCTCTGCATCGTTTTGATGGGAGGATGTAGCTTTGCAGCATGTCCAAAATAGGTATCTGTTATACGGAAAGTGAAAACAGTGCCACGATTCTCCCCCTTTTATGGCAAATGAAGTTGAACAGGATAACATAACTCAATTTTGAAGTGAATAAGTATATAAAGAGTGATTTATGACACCCAGAAAAAGACATGGGGGAGAAAGAAAGAAAATGAATGGTGACTACTTTTAAGAGTATATGCGAATGTAGGCATAGTGCATTACATCGTGGAAGATTTCTTACTAACCACCTGCTGCTATCTTTACCACTGACTTTCTACCCAGTTTGAATAAACAAGTCAGACCTTTGAGGCTTGTCTATATTGCCTCACTTACTTTATCTATCATTGAAGATTCAAGGGCTGGTGTTTATAACAATGGGAGTGTTATCTCCTTGGCATGCCTGTGGGAAGAGGAACTAAGATTGCAGCTGTGACTAAGGCTCAGTCTATTTCTGATGGCCGCCAAAGAGCAATCAGGTCATCAGCCAAGGAAATGGTGAAGCTGTGGTCAACATCAAGATTGAGTCCTAGGATGTGTTATTGAAAGTACAAACAGCATATATCATTTGTGACTTTCCCAATCACTTGCTGAACCACACTGCTATGTAAAATAATAATAAAAAATTGATAGCAACTCAGAAAAGGTAGTGAGATCAACAGTCAGGATTTGAAATAGGAAACACACACTGCTTTTATTACTTCTAGGATGAGTTACGTATGGGATAGCAGTGAAGCCAGAGGGAAGGGAATCCACAACTGGGTCAGCAGGGCTGAGGCTCTCAATGCAGGGCTGAGGGTGTCAATGCTTGGGTCTAGAACCAGGGCCATTGGGCCAATGGCATCAGGTCGAAACTTGAAGACATGGGATCCAGACCTTGGGAATCCAAGTCTGTCTTCTCCAAAACGAATAGTGGAATTTCTTCTGCCTCAGGGTCCAGATCTTCAAAACTGGCATCACCATCTTCTGACACAGTGTTGAGGTCTTCTGGCTCTGGTTCTAGGCTTTCAGAATTAGGGTCTGGATCTTTGGGACTGGGGTCTAGGTCTTGTGGGTCTGAATGAAGGTCTCCATAAAGGGGCCTGAGGCTCTTGTGGCCCGGGTTCCTAACCAGGACTGAATGCCTCATCCTAGAAGTAGAACTGCTTGTGGCTTCTGGACCAGAATCCGATGCCGGTTGCCCTGCCCGGCCTGGCTTCACCCATGCTGGCTAGCAGGCATCTCCCCGCCCCAGACTTGCAGGAAACCCCACTGCCCTGCCCACCAGCCCCGCAGGCCAGCAGCTGCAGCCAGGCGCTCCGGGGGAGCGAAATGCGCAGGAGATCACTTTTGAAGGGTTGCAACTAAGAAACAGAGATATCTGATTAGACACTTGCAAATCTTGTCACTGAGGCAAATTGTTGGTGGATTGAAGAGGTCTAAAGTAATTTGAATGTCTGTCTTGTGACACCGTGTAGGATAAGTAACTTCTTAGGTATAAAAGTATTTATTTTTTTAAAGGGCGCGTGTGGGCATGCACCTGTGGATGTGTAGAAGTCACAAGATGGCTTTTTGGAGTTGATTACATCAGGTTCCTTGGCTCAAACTCAGGGCTCCGGGTTTTCATCTTCCAAACCATCTTGTTCTCCCTGAGCTTGTGTTTCTCACAAGCATGAAATTATTTTCAGGGGTTAAAGTCCAAAAATTTAGAAGACAGTTTTTGTTTATACATATACTTTCCATCATTTTCACTTTACCTTTGAACTTGTCCATTTCATGTATTCCTAATTATGAAATGAGACTAATTTGGAACATTCACTTTATAAAATAATATCAATGTAAATTGCTTAATTGAATAAGTCTAAATATCTACTGCCTGCTTTATCTGCATAATAACTCAGGAAGAAAGGTCTCTGGTGCTGTTCATAGTGGAAATACAATTAAATAATAACAAAGATTCATTGCTTGTTGTACTAATACTTGCTTTTTATTTTATGAACTTCTTTCTCATACAGCCAGATGTTTTTCTTTAAACAGATATTTTAAAGACCTGGATCATTTTTATAATAATTCTACTTTATTTGAATATTTGCTTGTTTTTAATTTTATGAATGTGCACCACCTGTATGCCAGGTACCCACAGGGATCAAAAGCAGGTGTGATTTCCCTGTAACTGAAGTTACAGACAGTCATGAGCTTCCATGTTGGTGCTGGAAACTGAACATGGGTCTTTTGCTGGCAGTGAGTACTCTCAACTGGTATGCCATCTCTCTATCTGCTTATTAAATAAAACTTATTTTTTGAGACAGAATCTTACTATTGTGGTCTTGGTAGTGGGTTATAATCCACACTGAACTACAGAGTAAGATTTGACCCCAACACCTTCCCTGACTAACAGTAAGTCAGGAAGAGAAACAAACCGATTAATAATTTCATGTTTATGACAAATTTTTGCTCATCACCCCACCCTAAAGCACATGGCTAAGCAATTCAATTAAGTCATTTTTATTGAATTTTGCTTATTCCTTTCTTCCTGGACTGGTTGAGTTTACCAGACACTTTCCATTTTCTGCTTTAAGGAAGAAAGATTGACTTAGAGAATCATGAGAATGTTGTGAGGTAAGCAGATCAGACTTCTGGATAGGCTGTATGAATGGGTTCAATTACAACCTCCATTTTGAGTTTAACATGTTTATGTCTTCGATTTTATCTGGTTCACTACAGGAAAGAAACCTTGCCCTCTACTTTCTAGAAAGTCTGATCATCACTATGAGGATATTTAGCATGGTATTAGTACAAATCTGGAAATACGATTGATGGTAACTACCACCACAAAGTATACAAGAACTATGAGAATAAGCCAGTAATATTATCAAATGTACTTATGAAAGTTAAGTTGGTATTCATAACCCTATCAGCTAAGAGAAATAGTGAGGAAAATTAACACACAATCTATGGAGGAAAAGAAACAAGAAATTTAAAAAAATACCAGTTAACCACAAAAACGGGCAATGATGAGGAAACAGGACATAAAATGTAAGAATAAATGGCAATATTATACCCCAAAATAACAAAGAAAAGAGGATAGAAAACTATATATCCCTGTTTTTTTTAATGGGTGAAAATAAAAATCCTCAACACAAATTTGGGAAACATGAAACCACAGAGAAACAGAATTTCACACCACTACATAGCATAACATGCTAGGGCTTGTTACAATAGTGCAAGTTGTTTAACATCTGAAAATCACTGACTAAAACAGGGTAACTGAAGAAGACAATATAAAACACACATGATCCTTAGAGACACAGAGAATGTAATTACACATGTATGAAGAAAACCAGGAATAGACAAGCAGTCTCTCACCTTGAGAGGCACTTAGAAATTGTACAGCTGACCTCAAGAGACTACAGCCAGAAAAAACTTCCTGCAAGGACTAGAAGCCAAACAAAGTTTTTGTTGTTGTTGTTATTGATATATCTATTCTAAAGATTCTCTCAATGAAATTTATAAAAGTAAAGGAGCAAAAGTCATACTAATAAAAAGACGATATGTTTTGTTTCTAATAAGAAAAATTACTGAGTAGTTAATAAATAAGTAGAAGAATACAAGATCTAGAAATCAGATGTATTTTATATAAATTCAATGAAAAACTGTAAAATGTTGTTGAAAAACAGATAAAATGTTCCAGACCTGGTGGAGCATGGCTGTAATGCTAATATTTGGAAAGCAGAGGCATAATGATTACAAGTTCAAAGTTAGTCTACGTAGTGAGTTCCAGGGCAGCCATGGGCTATAGAGAAAACCGTATCAGACAAATATGTTTATATAATATATATAAACACATATTAATATAAATATGTAAAACACATACTTGTTTGAAACTAATTTTCATATATAATTATTTACATATATAATATATATATATATATATTTACATATACTATACTATTGAAAGAAATTATTGTACATCTTTTCTAGTTTGCTTTCTATTGCTATAATAAATACATGACCTAAACCAATTTGGGAAGGAAAGAGTTACTTGTTTTACAGACCCCAATCCAAGCACACTAGATCACTAGAGAAATCAGGGCAAGAACCCAAGTAGAAGCCAAAGCAGAAACCATGGACAAAAGCTCCTTACTGCTTTGCTTTTCTTGTTCAGTTTTCTTTCTTATACAGCCTAAGATTACCACACATAGTGGTAATTTATTAATCAAGAAAATGCCCCACAAACTTGCCTACATTGAAGTTGCTTCTTCCTGGGTATATCTACACTTGTGTCAGAGACAAAAACTAACACATACAACATTTAAAATGAAAGATTGCTAATGTTCATAATACTCCTTAAATTTATGTGTAAATACAATACAGTTTCTCTTAATCTCTAATCAGGACAATTTGGTGCCAGTAGCATAATTCATTTCACTTGAATGGACTTTAAAGCCCAGAAATTTACACTCATGTAGCCTTGATTTTTCTACAGGGACAGAAGACAATTCTGCAGGTGACATAAGGCACTTGAAATGCAGCCTGGAGCTGAATGAGAGGCTTAAATTGATAAAATTTGTAGAATAAAACCTTCCAGCTTTCTTCTTTTCTAAGTCACAAACCTGACAGCACAAGGGACAAAAGAAAAGCCCACAAAATTGATTGTAAAAATTAAAATTTTGGGTGCTCTGTATGGTATTAGTGAAGCACCAATAGAATAGTAACAGTGCCCAGAAAGGCACAAATATTTCTAAATTGTGTGTCTGATAGAGTAGTTGGATGCTTTAAAATATGCTTTAAAGCACTGATGACACAATAGTAAAAAAGATACATAGGACCCAATTTTATAAATAGAGAAGATTTTGAGTAGGCACTTCTCCAAAGACATGCAGTTGCAGTTCCTCTTGGAAATCGCATGACTTTACCAGCCCCAGGTAACTGGCTAAGTTTCCAGTAGCAGGCCCAGTTTCCTTCTTCTTGAGAAGGTTTTTAAGTCTAATCAGAGAGTTATTGCTTACCACCGAGAGATGTATGCCAATACTGCATCCTGAGGTTTATTTTACCACAATGGCTGGTTGTTGTTATGGTTCATGGTGTCATAGCTTGGGAGTACTCTTGGTTTCTTCCCTTCCTTGGAAGCTTGCATGATGCCTTCTGGTACCATGAAAGGTAGTCTTCAGGAAGGAAGCCTTAAGGTCAGATTCAAGTTAGATTCTCTAGGCTCTATTTCTGAAGCGCCTGGTGTCTTCAATAATAGGGATTTAGCTTCCACTTCTGGGGGCAGAGGTAACCAAGGGCACTAGCAGTGGTCTATAATGCTTTGGGAGTCTACTAGGCAACCCTGACCAACAGCTCAATATGGGGCAGGCTTCATATGTCTGGTTTGGGTTTTTTGTTAGTCTATAGCTCTTGTGGGGAACATTGTCAGCCCAGATGGGACAATTTCATTTCAACTATGTGTACATATGTATATACAAACATACATTTATTGTAGGTATTTTGTAGGTAGTTAGCTAATAGTATGAGTCCTTATGACTTTTTCAGACTTCTTTAGTGTTATTTCAGCATTCTTCCTCCTTCTGTATTTATCCTCCAGCCTATTTTTCAATTCTTCAGATCATTGGAACCCGGCTAATCCCTTTTACATCGCTTGATGCCAAAGACAAAATATTTCACTAAGAACTCGTTTTTGCATTTATATTTTGAATCAGTCCTCTCCACCTTTTCAAATTTAGGAGCCCCATCAAAACAAACAAACAAATAACAACGTTGACAGTCTTAAGGACAGACCAACAGATTTCTTTTGAGCAGCTTACTTGCTTTGAAATTTGAGTTAGGAAATTTCTCAGTAGACTAAATTGAAAGGCACCTTTTCCCTACTTATCTACTAGATCAAAATATTATTCTAAACTGGAAGCAGATTTTCAAAGAGACTGGGCATTATTTGTGGAATATTTAACTGCATTAAGATTTCCTACAACTTTGATGAAAGTAAGTGAATTCGTGAAGGGCATGCCACAACGGATACTTGTTGATGAAGATACAGCCTTCTTCATCAGAGACTTTACTACCTTTCAGAACATAGTCCTGCATGTTCTAAGTTTCCTCCACAAAATGCATGAATATACAGGTAAGAGACACCTTTTGATTATTATTTTTTACAAATATTGTGTGTTATATTGATGTCATAGATGATAAATTGGCAGTATAATCCTAATTAGACACCACTAGACTATTTAAAGAGAGAAATGTTGACCTAGAGATACTGGCTTCACCCTCTGGGCATTTGTTTTTAATGGGCTAATTATAAGCTTCCCTCAGTGGTGGGTGCTTTTTATCTAACCCAATAGTGTATTTTCTACATAGATCTTTTTCCCCCAACATAATATTTTTATTTATTACTTAGGAATTTTACACAGTGCATCCCAATCACACTTGCTTCCCATTCCTCCTAGGTCCACCCTCCCACCCTTTTGCCCTCCCCCCCCAAAATACACCAAGTCCAATTTGTGTAGCTCACATACTCATTGGAATGTGGTTAAACTTCAAGTGGGTAGTCCTTCAAAGATAACTGAATCCCACACACCTCCCACCAGAAGCCTTCGACTGTGAAGAGCTATGCTTCAGTATGTTTATCATAATTTCATTGCTTCTCACCTTTTGGCTAAGAGTTAGTGTAGTATCTGTCCTTCTACACTGTTCTTGAACAAATACAGCAGATAAAGACCATCATTTATTTTCTTAGAAAACAAAACAAGGATTCTTTTCTTCTTATTTGTTTGTAAACTTTCATATTCTTTACATATTATTTTTAAAAGAAAATGTAACAGGGGCTGGAGAGATGGCTCAGCAGTTAAAAACACTGGCCACTCTTCCAGTGGACCCAGGTTCAATTCCCAGCTCTTACATGGCAGCTCACAACTTGTCTGTAACTCCAATTCCAGTGGATCCAAAATGTTTATCTAGTATCCACGGGCACCAGTCATACATGTGATGCATAGACATATTTGCACACAAACCCATACACATAAAATAGATTTTTTTAAAGATTAAGAAATCTTTTAAAAATTAAAAAAGGAAAATGTAACAAACATAAATGTGATATCCGCCCCCACAGTTAACAGGGTTCCAAAATACACGATAGAAACTTTTACATCCTCTTCTATTGGGTACAGATATAAAGAAAAAAATCTCATAAAGTAGGGTAAAAGGGCCAGGGAACAGTGGAGGCTATTGTCCTGCCAGGCAGGATGTGTTGCAAGGAGATAAGTCTGCGGCTGAGGCTCTCTTGACCACAGACATGGACATATGCTTTACAAGAAAATAGATGTAAAGAAACAGAAACTTAACTGAGTGTTAGTTCCTAAAATAGTAATAGAAGGCATAAGATAGCATTATTATGCTATCTTCATTCAGGGTCTCTACACACCTCATTGAGGCACATGTTTCTGCATAGATACTGAAAGTGAGTGTATATTAGCAAAATCTTTAATAAGGAATGAACTTGTAATATGTTAATATATTTATAATACTTGCTGTATCTGTCTCCTTCATTCTCTTAACTCCATTTGTCTATTAAAATTTTAAGTGTGTAGGTATAACATATAGTCTTAAATATGCAAAATAATCACATTAATCTGTGTATATTAGTGTTTGCTAATGGGATGAGAACTTTATACTGTTTTAAATAATTTCAGCAATTTGATTCAAAATTAAAATTCTATTTATGACTATTTTTATGATTTTTCCAGGTACACTGCCACTCACTATATGGGAAAGTCTAATGAAGCCAAAATGTGCAAGGAAACTTGCCCTAGACATTCTGGAATTCCTCTTAAAAAGATTCAATTAAATGTTTCTGGAAATTCATAATGAAATAAAAACACAAATGATAAGTTTTATAGGAATTTGTTTCTCAGGTTTGTGTACTTTCATTACTGTATATTCTTACATTTTAAAGTATGAATGTATTTTGTTATCAATTTCCAAATAGTTATCAAATAAATGTAAGTAATAACTAAAATATCTACTGTTCAATGTAGACTCAGTCAAATAGCTAATTGATTAGTAACTAAGATGATCAGGTCATAAAGTCCATAAAATTTGATTGAGCTGTCAGGTGCTATTCTGCCTAAATTAATTTCATGATGTTTAAAGGGCATCAGTGTCAAGAGTAAACAATCTTTAAAATATGAATGCAAATTTACTCTCATCAAATACTCAAAGATGAACTGTTTGTGTGGAATACACTTCTTAGTAACTGGAGAATTTGTGTCTTGAAATTTGAAAAGTGTATTTTGAATTATCTCATCTATGGGGTACTTTAGGGGTACGGAGGGCAAAATGCCCCCCCACACACACACCTTTTCACCGTACACACAGAAAGGAGGCTCTGCTCTTCTTCATTCTCTTGGTTAGTTGCTTTCAGCTGTTCCAAGGAAGATGCTTACACAGATTTCATGAGGCTCTGCTCAGAGACTAAAACCTGTAAGTCGATCCTATGGCCATGAACGTAGAAACATTCTGAAGAGATAAGTTTTCATGTAAGTTCTGTCATTTTCCAGCTGTCTCACCTGTTAGCTCTTATCTACTTAACAAATTCCCCTACAACTCATTATACTTACTGGAAAAGTAAATATTCAAATCGAGGGCCACCAGATGTTGATAATTAAAAAACACTAATGTAATACCCCAAAATTAATGAATGTCCAATATAAACACACAAAACTGTAACGGTTGTACACAGCACATCTATGTGATGAACAGGGCACCAGTAAGACATCAGTTTCAATCAAAAATATCAATTTAACATTGCAGCATATATGATTCCAGGAATTTAAAGTCACAAAACATAATCCACATTGAATCACAGCAACTTCGTCACACAGAAATCTCTGGGTTTTTTTTGTTTTTGTTTTTTTTTTTTTTTTTTTTTTTTTTTTTTTTTTTTTTTTTTTGGCAGCTAGCAGCTCTTGTTTATTGTGAAACTGCAACTCTATTTTAGTCTTGTTTGGAAGAAAGCCCAGAGCTGAAATTGCATAGATAAGAGCTTTAAAAGAAGAGTAAGGTTGTTTTTGATGTTGTTATATAATTTTATTTGGGGGGGGTTTCGAGAAAGGGTTTCTCTGTGGCTTTGGAGGGTATCCTGCACTTTTCTGCTCCCCAGGGAGGGTGAAACTTTGAGGAGAGAAACTCAACTCGATTCCTTTAAAATCAGGAATAAGACAAGACTGTACACTCTCTCCATATTTCTTCAATATTGTACTTGAAGTTCTAGCTAGAGCAATACAACAACAAAAGGAGATTAAAGGGATACAAATTGGAAAGGAAGAAGTCAAACTTTCACTATTTGCAGATGATATGATAGTTTACATAAGTGACCTGAAAAACTCTACCAGGGAACTCCTACAGCTGATAAACACCTTCAGCAAAGTGGGAGGATACAAGATTAGCTCAAAAATATCAGTAGCCCTACTACATACAGAAGATAAATGGGCTGAGAAAGAAATCAGAGAAACATCACCCTTTACAATAGCCACAAACAACATAAAAATATCTTGGGGCCATGTTAACCTAACCAAAACTCTCTGGAGGTTTTTAATACTTTAGCTATTCCTTTTCTTTTCCTCTTGCTTCTGTAGCAAACTGTCACCAGTTAGAAGCTTAAAACAATCTGCACATATTCTAGATCTTGAGAGCTGGAGTCTGAGATGGGTTTCCTGATGACAGAGCTAGTAATGTGCATATAATTCTCCTACACCACCACCTTACAGAGTGGGTTCTCTTACATTGGTGGTTTTCCTTTGGGTACTGCAAAGAAGAGTCAGTTTAATTACTAAGCTCAGTGTCATCTCTGCAGACCATGCTTATTCTTTCTTTGCAACCCTTTCCTTGTTTTTTCAACTCAAGTAGCAAAATAACTTTAATTCTGCTAATGTAACACATCGTTAGCAAAACACTTTTGTCCACTTAAGTTAACATATATATTTGCATTTGCATATGTATTTGAATTTAATCATGGGTAAGATTCTTGGGGGTACAATGATTAAACCATTATTTATGTTATTGAAGCATTCACAGGATTGTCTCTACTTTGTGTCTATCAAAGACAGATGTAAGAAAATGGTACATATGCAGTTTTACTTTAATAAACATGATAAATTACCAATGAAATTTCATTTGTGGTGAATCCTAGTAGTTCAGAGTGGGTTTGTAGTTTCTGACCTGTGCTTTCAGACCAGAAAATACTGATAAATATGAGACAGCTTGATCAAAATAAAGACACATTCTCAGTATTTCTGAATTCAATGCAAAGAATAGGTGAATTGTGTTTCTCTTTTTAAAATTCAATGACAGAATTCTCCAGAAAGACAAAATATTTATCATCTCCTCTTCCCCTCAAACACTGTACCACTTGTGTTTTAAGATGATATAAGTAAACATGATAATTGATGAGTACAATATATCATTCACTGCCCAATAAACACATGATTCTTACTGTTCCCATGACAGGAATCACATATACTGGGATAGTTTTACATTTATTTTGTATGATTGAAGTACCATGTATGCCTCTGACAATTCCCTTGCACAGTAAGAATTCAACTTGGAGGTAAACACCTCCTCATACACATTTGATGTATTTGCAGGACAGTGCTCACGCATGTAGCACAAAATAAGTCATTCCTCAATTAAACACATGTCAAATTGTTTCTGAAGCTTGCACAAGATTTTCTCATTAATTTTCCACAGAATTGTCAATATAGGACTGAGTGAACAACTGACTGTGAGCAATTCCAGCAACCCAAGGTATGCTCTGTAATTGCCTCATAATTAATTTTGGAATAATTTAGGGCAGGCAAACCTGCTTGATGGGTGATTTCTACATAAGAATGTAGGTGGGGTGTGATTTGGTGTTGGCCAGGAAACACTTGTTCCCAAATATATCTTTCCGCTTCAAATGTATCTAACATCTACCTACATAATTACTGGCTTGCTTATTTATATTTTTGTTCATTTTTAAATTTCATAAAAGTCCTTAATGTGAAGATAGCACTGTCCACACAACATTTACCACCTCATCAGGGGACAGTCAATAAATTTCTGCAAAATATCACTTCTGTTTAAGGTTAATATGAGTGCTTTTACAAATTACATTGTCAAATTGGAATTCTCAATAGACTTTATAATTTCTGTTTTATTTAAAGTGGAGAAGGAAAAGATGTACTATTAATTCCACAGGTTGAGAATAAGACCACTCCCACAATTTAAAGCCAACTTGAAGCAAATTTTATTCAAATACTGGCCAGATGGATGGGCTCTCTGGTTTTCCCAAGAAAAATTACAGCAAGTCATTGTTTGCAGCAGCTTAAGTACCTCCCCTCAGGTCCAATCAGGAGCAAGCATACATCCTGATGTATTTCCTGCCCTTGACCCTCCCACTCACATATGATTAAACACATCTGGTGCAGATGGGTCAAACAAACTTGTTTAGGAGAGTGAAAACATGTGACTTGTTATCTCCCATAAATAGCAGCCTCCAGCATTTCAGGAACCATCTCTCCTTAGGCAAAGGGCTTACAATTAGAGGATCTTTGTTTTATGGACCTTTTAGGCACAGGAATTAAAACTTAAAAGGTAACTTTGGCTCTCATATTCCCTGCTTGAGTTGTATCCTGAGTTAAATCCTTGACTCTGTGATAGGTACCTGTTTATACTGGGATCTAATAACCATCAGCTTAATGGTACCCAGACAGGAATTGTCATTTAGTTAAGGTATCATTGATGCAAGAGCCAACAACCATCAGCAGAAGAAGAAGAGCCAAAGGCCCTGTGATGGCTGACATCAGAGTTACTATCTAGAAAGAGCCTGGAAATGAGAATAGGAACCAGTTATTTGTTTCATCTCAGATCCCCATTATTTTTGGCAAGGATTTTTTTTTTTTTTTGTACAGCCAGATAGATTATCTCTAATAATTCCTGAGTGGTTTATATAAAAACAACAATTTTCTCCTAAAGCTATACAATAACCTCTCCATTTTAAACAGAGCAAGTTGAGTACCCAACAGTATTGTAGAACTATTTCAGTTAATGAATCTACCTGTTAATAGATCTGGGTCTATTTGGTTTTAACAAATGACTTCATAGCTGCTCCAGATCTTATTGCAGCCATCCAGTTTGGTCAGAGAAGAGTGATCCGGGGACCCAAGGCATCCAGTGAGCATGTACAACTGGAATAAACCACAGTCACCCCGGAGCCTTCTTCATGCACAACAGCAGGTTCCAAGTAAAGCCTCCCTGGGTTGGTTTTGTTGTCCTCAGCTGTCGTATTTGTCACATATGGAAGAGACTGAGCTGAGTACATAAGAGGGCAGAGGGGTCCTCACAGCCTCTAGGACCAGGCATTCCCTCCCACAGCAGTTAAAGGGTCACTGAAGAGTCTCAGAGTATGACTGGGAGCAGAAACTGAAGACTATAACCGCAGAAGTACCATCAAATTTAGAGGCAGAGTAGAGCTGCACTTGCTGAAGGGAAGGGACTGTGAGAGGTGGTGAGGAGCCAAGACTCTAGAAGCCAAAAGGCTGTAAAGAGCCAGGACTTCAGACGAGCTGCAAACCTCAGCTGTTGAGGAGGGCTCCAGGAACCCACTAAATCACTTAGATGTTGCTAACACCTGAAACATGAAACTTTAAAGATGGCTGCTAAGGGCTGAGGTCCTGGCACTCAAGGGTCAGAACAATAAGCCTATGGCTTTGAGAGCCTAGAGTCACTAGTCTGTCTGTGTCTTTGAAAGCTGAGAGTCTTACATCTGGATCTCAAAACTTGGAGCTCGAAGCCGCTGGGTTTGAAAGCTCAGCCTGCAAGCCAAGAAAATTCAATGTTATGAACAATAAAACTCAAGAGCCGCAAACTGCCATCCACTTCTCCAGACTAAATTGTAAGTCTCTGAATTTGAAGGTCCAGCTCTTCAGCTTCTGGCACTCCGAGGCTCAGACCAGCAGGTTTATGGTAGCTACTTCTTACCAACTGGTAATTCCATCTGAATAAGTACAGAAGAGCTCTCAACCTGCTGTGACAAAGCAAGCTGTCACTGGAAATGTCCACGGCATTGGCTGTTTTTCAAGAATTCAAATTCAAATAGCAACAAACTGACTTGCAAGGAAAGACTAGCACAGCTGACAGAAAGAATGTCTACTGTTCTCATGGAGAAGAGAGAGGAGGAGCTGAGAAATTCCAGAGAAATGGAGTTAGGAGTGAGATGAGGCTGCTGTCTATCTGGGATTAGAATATTGCCCTATAACAAAAACCATAACTCTCAACATATAAACCCCAGAGTATCAAAAGTTTTTGCTCATGGGGATTTTAATAAGTGCTAGAAAAAGCATCTAATTCCAAAGCTTATTTTGAGGCCAGTGTGTCTCTGCACTGCATTTGGGAACTCCCCAATCTGCCTTTATCTATTTTAGACTTTTCCACCACAGTCTTATGTAAGAATTTTTGCACATATTCTCAAACAACCAAACTACTTCCTTGGCCTCATTGTGCACTTTTTATTGCCACACTTTTGCACAATTACTGGATTTTAGAAATTCTATTTTTTCCTACTTTCTTTATTGAACACCAATTTGCCCTTTGATTTTATGCATTCTCTGGATCCCAATCCCATGTACAAGTTTTTCTAGCAGGAAAAAGAGAAAATTTCTGGGGTTTAAGAAAGAAATCACTCATTAACAACCTAATCACCCTTTAGATGCAGCACTATTAGGTATTATTAAGTATCACTCTTCCTGGTAAGACAAAGCCCTTTTTTATTACATTCAGAGTAAACACCCAAATCCAAAATATTTCCTTTTTGTAGGAGTCAGGATTTCTTATTACTCTATTATGAAAAGAAAATTTAATACCAAGATCTTTGACAAATGTATATATCCATCGTCTTATATGTACTACAACCATAATTTAAAATTCTCATAAAATGATGAATTCCATTATATTTCTTGGAACTTATTAATGTTTTAAAAATTCTCTATTGGCTATTGGTACAGAGTAGAAAATGTATTTCCGGAAGTGGGACCATGCACATCTCTGTGCAGTATGTCAGCAGTCCTCATGGAAGTCTCGCTTAGCTTTGTGCCTCTCAAACTCAGCATTGTACAAAGTCACTACACAAATTCAGGAAAACAAATGAGAGGAGATGTTCAGATGCTGCCCCCTTGTGACTAAAGAAACCAGGCACAGGGTCTCTGATAAAAGGTAGACAGGAGAAAAACAGAATTGCTAATTTTGAGGAAGCTTTTTATTCTAGGTTTTCAATTCTTTAAGGCTCATTAATCTCTTCTTAATAATTTCCCTTACTGTGGCTGTCTGGCCATGCTTTTGTGGGAAAGCATACAGGAAGTTAAATGGTTTCACAACTGGGCAATGAAATGCTTGATGATATAAACTGGATTAGACTACTTTCTTATTCACTTTTTCATTCAACCATGGCCCAATGATAAAACCAATACCCATAACTTTATGGTACAATTTTGATAATCTTCTGTATTCTTTCATATGCATGCTTATACATCTGTCACTAAAATAAGATTCTAGCACAGAGCTTTCAGCTTACTCTTTCAGTGTGCTTAATCATCATCTGTGTCTGATTTTAGTAAATTACATTTAAAAAAAGAGAGACACGCCAGGATTTGTTCAGTTTCTTTGTTCTCCATTTAAAAAACTTTATTTGTGGGGTGTGTCTGAGAGTGTGCATGTGTCAGAATCAACAGCAGCAAGGAAATGTAACACATTCATAAAATAATTTGTGTCTGTTAGGACAAAAGGTTGATCATCCACCACAGCCAGTCACAAGTACGAGACACACATTTCATTCAAGGAATGCTCAGATTCTGAAACTTGATAATAATACTGAACAAGATAAAGACCACATTCAACTTTAATATGTGTCTGTTTATAGCCCCAAAGCCATAAACATATATTGATTAAAGTAGTTGGTTCTGCTAACCCTGTTTAGTGCATCCATTTTTAAAATGCTATAATTAATTCTCTGAGAATTTCATACAGCATATTTTGATCATATCTGTTCTCATTCTTCCCCCAAACTCCTCACAAATCCACCTCTATCTCCCTCACAACCCTGTGTCCTCTTAGAAAAAATAACTAGAGTCCAACTTGTGCTGCCCACACATTCCTGGGTGTAAGACCATGCGCTGGAGCATGTCCAACCTTCTTTAAGGGGCCATGCACTTGAAACACCCTGAATCTCCCTTCCCCAGGAACCATCAACTGTGCAAAGTGCTTGAGTTTGGGGGGGGACACTCATCAACTCCTGTCCCTCCATTGTAGAATGTTAATTGATTGGCTTGACCATTTACAGGTTGTGTGCAGGCAACGACAGCTGCTGTGAGTTCATGATCACAGTGGTGTCAGGCCCGGAAGACACGGTTTTGATCTGGGCCTTCCAGACTTCTGACTTTTTCCATCTTTATATCCCCTCTTCCTCAATGGCCCTTGTCCCTTGGGGAGGTGGTATAGATAACAATTTGTGGCAGAGCATTCGACTGACCTCTTTGTGTTTTGATCAGCTTTAAGTGTCTGTATTCATCACTGTCCACTAAACAAAGAAACTTTGGTGAGTTTTGGAAACTGTATTAAACTGCAGGCAGGAATAAACAAACTTAGGGGGGAATTTGATAGTATGTCCATGAAATGCATGAATACACATCTCATCTTTGGACTCCATTCTTGTTTTGAAGTGTCTTGGAATTTTTGGAAAGGGGCTATTCATTCCACTGTTTCCCATAATACTCCTCCTCTTGATCTGTCAGGCATTGAAAAGTGCATAGGTTAATTCTGGAGCGAAGGTATCAAGAGCAGGCTGGGTTCCTGAATTCCCAACTAAGGAATGTCAACCTAGGCACAGCTAATGTGGGCCAGACCAGTTCAGGAGAGTGAGAAGGATGAGAAGAGACTGCCTAGCTTTGAACACATCTGTGGTGACCCTGTTCTAGCTACACCAGAACTGATAGGCTCCATTGGGTCTGAATCATGTGCAAGACTGTTACTGCTTCCTCAAGTTTGTGCTGTTGGGAAGAGCTGGGGGAGAGTATGCTTCACGTCATTGTAACGAGGAAAGCCTATGAGAAATACACAGATGCAGCCTGGGAACTTGTGTCCTGCTTCAAAATGAAATACTCTGAAGTGTGTTTTCTTAAAAACAAGAATGGGAACAAGTGCCAAGCTTTCAGGCTCCTATTATGTTGAACACTGTATGTATGTATGTGAATGATTCTTTTTTTTTAAATTTATTTATTAGTTCTAGTTAGGGAACAAGCTTGTTTCACATGTAAATCCCTTTTCCCTCTCCCTCTCCCTCCCCTCATCCCTCCTCCCCCACCTCCAGCCTACCCCCCACTCCATCCACCCACTACTCCCCAGGCAGGGTAGGGCTCTCAACTGGGGCTCTGCAAAGTCCACCAAATCTTCCTGTGCTGGGCCTGGGCCCTTCTCCATGTGTCCAGGGCCAGAGTGTAACCCTTCACGTGGGATGGGCTCTCAAAGTCCCTTCTTGCACCAGGGAAAAATACTAATCCACCACCAGAGGCTCCCTGGAGTGCAGAGGCCTCCTTATTGACATCCATGTTCAGGGGTCTGGATCAGTCTTGTACTGGCCTCCCCAACAGCATCTGGGGTCAATGTGCTCTCCCTTGTTCAGGCCAACTGTTCCTGTGGGT